ATGAATCAATATGAATTGCTTTAAAACATTAAAGTTTCAGAAAAAAATGAGACATCAAAAGTATTAGGAAGACTATAATAATGAAAATGAAACTTATCACTCTTACAGTGTTCATATATAATAAATCATGTTATTACACAGTACAGAAAAATATTGACGATTTACTTTAATCTTTTTCTTGGTAATCTTGAAAAGTAAACTAAATTATTTTTAAAACTTTTTAAATTCTATTTCATTTTGTAGATGGTGAAAATCTTGTTACTTTCACAAGTTAGATGTAACTTCACCCAAAAATTAGCCACTTTAGGGGTGAGGGAAGTGCTAACCTGAAGGTCGTTAACTAGGTCATCTTTGAGCAGGTATTGTAGAATCAGTGTAGGTGCAGAGAAGATGAACCTAGAATAAAAAGCTTTCAAAATAAAATAAAAAAACTCCAGACATTTTTATTAGATGGACTTCAACTCAGATTATCTATTCCCTTACTTCCCATTGAGACTCTGAGCCTACCATGTTTCACGTTGAGTTTGTGCCTTCTCCAGCCAAAACAATTTCAAGGAATTGAAACCCAAAGATTCAAAAAGAGTCACAATCTATTTAACTAACTTGGTTCTTGGATAACACAAAATCAAATCATCTAAACAAAAGTACATTTTTAGTATTTATGTTGAAAACTATTGAGATAGATTGATTACTAAATTTAAAATACATTTTAAAAATAAAGTACTGTCTTAGGAATCACATTTCAAAATATGACAATATATTTATATCAGTATTAAGATCTTTTTTAAAATATATTTTTATTGAATTCAGAGAGAAAGGGAACGAGAGATAGAAACATCAATGATGAGAGAATCATTGCCTCTTGCACACCCCCTACTGGGGATCAAGCCCTCGAGCCTTTGACCGGAATCGAACCAGGGACCCATCAGTCTGTAGGCCAACATTCTATCCACTGAGCCAAACCAGCTAGGATAGAATTAGGATCTTTTATTCTATTTCATCATCATGGAATCTAACACTTTAAAGTGTCTTAGAAATTCCCTCAACTAGCCCCATCAGTGTGGCTGAGTTGGTCCCATGCACTGAGAGGTTGCAGGTTTGATTCCCAGTCAGGGCACTTAATGGGTTACAAGATCCAACTCCAGTAGGGGGTGTGCAGGAGGCAGCTGATCCAATGTTTCTCTCTCCCCCTCTCCCCTCCTCTTTCTCTAAAAATCAATTTTTAAAAAAAAGAAATGTCCTCAATCTAATCATTATTGATTTTACCTTTCTTCCATTGAGATGCCTGAACTTGGGGAGACATAGACACTTCCCTCAAGGATGTCAGTCTAAAGCAGTGATTCTCAACCTGAGTGTCATTTCTCTATAGAAGTATATCAACCAAACTAGCTGAATCAATGATTGAGCGTCAACCTATGAACCAGAAGATCATGGTTTGATTCCCAGTCAAGGAATATGCCCGGGTTGTGGGCTCGATCCCCAGTGGGGGAGGTGTGGGAGGCAGTCGAGCAGTAATTCTCTCATCATTGATGTTTCTGTCTTTCTCTCCCTCTCCAAACTCAATAAATATATATGTATATATATCTATATATAAATATATATATAAATATATATATTTTAGATATATATTTTAAAGTATATCATATTCTCTGCAAAAAGCTATTATTTTGAAAAGCATATTTAATGTAATTTTTAAATGTAATGCCTACTATTTTTATGATATAACTATATAAATAAAGATGTACCAAGAAATTGGAGGTGAGCCGAAACCGGTTTGGCTTAGTGGATAGAGCGTCAGTCTGTGGACTGAAAGGTCCCAGGTTCGATTCTGGTCAACGGCATGTACATTGGTTGCGGGCACCTCCCTGGTGTGGGATGTGCAGGAGGCAGGTGGTCGATGTCTCTCTCTCATCGATGTTTCTAGCTCTCTCTCTCCCTCTCTATAAAAAAATCAATAAAATATATATATTTTTTAAAAGGATTTGAGGGTGAGGGGTAATTGTAATGTTGTATAAAGTCCAAAGACAGGTTGATTGATTTTTTTTTTTAATGGAAGAGATTATAATGTTTTGCTACTGATAAGAATGATCTATACAAAAGAGAAAACTAATGTAAGAGGGGGATGGGAAAGCTACTAGAGTCATAGCCTTAAATAAGCAGGAGGGATACTAGCATACAAGTATAAGGGCTAAACGATTATTGCTTGTCTCATGTTTTATTATAAGTATATTTCCAGTAGGACATGATCTCACTCATCTAGGGGAAATGGTGAACAACATAGACTGATGAACAAGAACAGATCCAGAGATAAGGAGCCATGGGTTAGACTGTTGGACCTCAAAGAGAGGTTGGGGATAAAAGGGAGAGATCAACCAACGGACTTATGTGCACACATATGAGCCTAACCAATGTCAAGGACAATAGGGGATGGGGGCATGAGTGGGGAGGAGTGGGGGTTGGAATGGGGGTTGGAATGAGGGTTGAGGACAAATATGTGATACCTTAATCAATAAAGAAATTTTTTTAAAAAAGGCTAGCCTGAGGTGGGAGCATGAACAGTTCATCAGAAGGAGCTAGGGTGAAGGCAGAACATGAAAGTACAGGTATGGTAAGTGGGTTTGTGTTAAGGTGGGAGTATGTGGAAGTTCTTTTCTATCATATTCTCAGTGAAATAGAAAGCAAGAGTGAAGAGGGGATAGAAGATGCTGGCAGTTTAAGGAAAAATAGGAAAAAATAAAAATGAACGTTATTAAGCATAGACTATGGAATGCACAGCTCCAAGTAGTATTATTTATGCAGAGTGTGGTATGAATTATGCCCCTAAAATTGTGCAATATGGTAGCCCTTTATGGAGTATACATATATATACCTTTTAGATAAATAAAGAAGCTAATTGTTTTGTTATATGACTAGTTTCATGCAACTTGGGATAAAATTTCAGTAACAGCAGCATACTTAGATTTACAAAGTGCAGTATCAAAAACCACTTGGAAGTAATGACATATAGTAGGACGGTTTTCACATGTTTGGCTCATTTAACCACTAAAAATTTTTTGCAAAAGTGTATACCCCCTAATAAAATTTTAGGGTTACTATCATTTGAAATAGTTGCAGAGGATATGTTTTTAACATATCCAGTTGTACATATTTACTGTAAATATGTCGTCATAAAAATATAAAGATTATTTTAATTCGATTTATGGAAGATGTGTGCCCCAAGGCTATACATCATGATAAAATCTGAAATAAATTGGAGAAATATATTTTTCTTGTAATGTGGGAGCAGGACAAGCCATTTATAGAAAAGTGCTCATATGGAAGTTGGATTTTGGAAATCAGTTTCCTTAAAGCTATTCATGCCCATCTACCCCTGCTTATTTAAAACCTTGGCTTAATAGCTGCCCCATCCCTCTCTCACATCAATTTTCTCTTTTGTACAGATTATTCTTGTCAGTAGCAAACCACTATAATATCTCCCATTTTTAAAATATCAATCAACCTGTCTTTGGACTTTATACACCTTTACAATTATCGCTCACCTCCAAATTAAGAGAGTCTTAAATTACCTATGGGGTAAATGTATACCACTTTGAAGATCTATCTGCTCTAAGATACGTAGATAATTCCTAAAGTAGCACTAATTGCTGATGAAGACATTGCTGTCAAATGGAGCCAAAGTAGAATGAATTTGTCTCATGAAATGTGAAAATGGAGGGGGAAATCAATTTTTCTTAATATCCTTAAAATATGATTGTGTAATTGAATTCCTATTGTAGATGTTTATTTTACTTATATCCCTTGAATTTTCTATACTTAAATTGCTGTTATCTCCTCATTGTGGGGGGGGGAAAAAGAAAATGGTCTTATATTTGGTATAAAGGTTATATACAGTCTCAACAGGCTGAACGGGGATCTATAGTCTTCTCATTATTAGGACCCTTAGTTACAAAGGCTTCCTTTATTCTGGATCCACAATAGTTCCCACAGTTGGTTTATTTAAAAATATGAATTTCAGTGGACAAGAAGTATCAAAATTTTAATCTGGAACATTCCAGAAACAAAATTGTATACACTACACACTCTAATTGTAATGTATTGCCATTATTGATTTGTATGTTATTTAATAATCACATAAAATGTTTATTTCTTACTAGTCTGAGACAAATAGTAAAACTGGAACATTAACCACAATAAGTGGTTAAGAACATAGTTTCAGTACTTAGTTAATATCACAAATCACTTAGTTTAATAGAATATAAAAATAAAGGAATCTGACAGGTCATGAAGCCCATTATTATTATTACTTAAAAAAAAAAATCAAAGTATGTATCCTCTTGACATCATATTTAAGTAAGGAAAAAATGTGAACATTAGGCAAGAGTGAAATAAAAAAGTTAAAAAGCTTTAAATGAATTCATATGTTTCATTTGTTTTTAAAGGAAGAATATAGGTTTCATGGGAAATATTACTAAATATTGAGAAATATCCTTTAAAAAGTAAGAATGTGAAATATTTCCTATGGAATTTTAGTCCACCATATCTAATTTCTCCCCATCGCTCATACCACCACACCACAATCCTTGCTTTCACTCTGCAAAAACACGTCTCATATGAGCACATACACTACATAAATGAAGCTTAGGTAATATATAGATATTTAGAGAAAATTCAGTAGGTATTTTAAAAACCATAAACAGTGCTACTGAGGAAATAAAATATTTTGGTCACTTAGTATGCTACTAGTCCAACTGTTGTGGCTTAGTGGTTGAGCCTTGGCCCATGAAGCAATATATTACCGGTTTGATTCCTCCATTCCCAGTAGGGGGCTTGCAGGAGGCAGCCATCCATGTTTCTCTCTCATTGGTGTTTCTGTCTCTACCCCTCTTTCTTCCTAGCTCTAAAATAAATAAATACATTTTAAAAATAAAACTAGACTTTTAAAATAATAAGTCCTAAATCTGGTTAATTATTGCATTATAATTGGTATTTTCTTTTCACAGGGCTTCATTATTTCAAAAATGTTGTGCTAGTGGGATCTCTGCAGGATCGTTATGTTCCTTATCACTCTGCCCGCATTGAAATGTGTAAAACAGCTTTAAAGGACAAACAGTCAGGTAACAAAGTCATTATAAGTATTTTGAAGAGTTATAGCTATACCTGAGTTTTCTCCCAAACGTTTCTTGTTGTCATTTTCTTCTTCGTCTCATCCTTCTTTTTTCTTTTACTTCGTTGACCACCCACTGATATTAACAGCTATCCTTCCTCCATTTTTCTTCCTTTCTTTGCTCCCACCACATCAGTTGTTTCTACCAGTGAAACAGTAATAGTTCTTATGAAATAGCTCATCTAATTACAAATGCTTCTCCATTTTGCTGCCTCATAAACAATTTGTACTTTGATTTCTTCAGGATTATTGGGACTGGTGATTGGGGTAATGGTCAAGCTACATGTTGATCTGAACCTTTGTTTTGTACCTCAAATGGCAACAGGGAGTTGCACCACTTTATTGATAGTGGCTGATGAAGAATGTATTTATTTATTCTTCTGCTAATTTTGAATAACAAAAGAAATCATAGCTATTTGCCGCCAGAAGGAAACTTCGGTCCTGTTTGCTCACTTTGTAACTGGGGCCCAGAGATGCTAAGTGTAGTATACAAAGTCCCTGGTGGTTAATTATAGGCTTAGGATAAGAACTTGGGTGTTACCTCTGTGTTGCCTCTGTTCCTTTTTTGGAATAAGGTTAATTTTAAACAAATTCTTAAACATTATGACAGTGAATAGCTTCTTTAGGCAGAGACTCTTAGATACATTGGTATTAGACTTGCCTAGCAGGGTGCTGGCTCTCTGCTCATTTAACATATTTTCTTAGTATTTGGAGACATCAGAATAACTTGTGTGTGTATGTGTTTTTACTTCTGTCATAGCAAGAGTCCACTTTGGACAAAAATTTAGAAGAGATTTATTCAGATGGGTCACTAAAACTAGATAAATGTCCTTTGTTTTGCCGCTGGGGGACAGGGAAAATCTAATAGAGGTTTGGATTTCTTCCTATGTAAGAATAATTTTTAAATAGCTTGAAACCAGAAATCCAACTTGACTAGCAGTGAAAACTAAGAGAAGAGGTTGTCTGTGAATCTATCTGATATTAATCTTCCTCTAAAATACTTCTCCTTTCTCTAATTGTACTTCTATATATGATTGCCTTTTCATTCCTATCTGCCTCTCCTCCAAAATGTAATACCTGCCTTTCTAAAATTTATAGGTTCTGTGGATATGTGTTAGCACTCATCTGTTAGTAATATAGTAATGCATAAGCATTAACAACTGTTTTGCTCCTTATAAGTAGTTTGTGTTTTTATGTGCATACATATCTAACTTTGATCTTTTATGCTTAGCATGACCTCAATAAGTCCATTATAAGAATTAACCAAAAAGAGAGAGAAAGAAGCATAACTTTAGAATTAAAAGCATAACCAAGAATTAAATAAATACTCAGAGCAGAATAAAAGGATCCTCTTTGATCTTTGAGCCAAACTCACATTGTTCTTCGACTAGTATAGAAAGTTGGCATTCTTCTCAAAATACAGGGATGGGCGAAAGTAGGTTTACAGTTGTGAGTACACGAACAGTTTATTTTTTGTATTATTTATTCCTTAATTACTTTATTATTATTTATCTATTAATTATTGTATTATTTATTATTATTAACCTACTTTTACCGATCCCTGTATTGTGGAAATATGTGGGGAAATGTCAACTGCTGTGGAAACTTGCTGTAGACAAGTTTTAAATTTTGCCTTATCAAAATGTCTCAGCATGGCTACCTTTTCATGATTTAATGAATCATAGGAGACTTAATGTTGAAGAAAACTATTTGCTCTGTTATATTTATTGCTTTGAATTAAAAATATTAAATTGGAAAGAATTATGTATAATAAATATGTTATTTTTACTTGGCTAGGTAAATAATGGAATCATGTTTTCTTTAAAACTGTCTCAAAAATGATAATTAAAGGAAAATAAAATCTTTCAAAATAACATTTAATACTTTTTTTATTGAATCGACTGAGGTGATATTGATTAATAAAACCATACAGGTTTAAAGTATAATATAATAAAAAATAATAATTTAACAAACAATAGAAACAAAGATATAAATACATCAGGGGAGGAAGATTGGGGAGCTGAGTGGGAAAAGGTGAAGGGATTAAGCAAAAAATATATATATGACACATAGACATGGACAACTTTTTCTACTTTAAATAGAAATAAAGTAACTAAATTTTATAAATTATACTAAACTAGGCATAGAGTCCAACCGGTGTGGCTCAGTGTTTGACCTAAGAACCAGGAGATCATGGTTCCATTCCCAGTGAGCCATTGCAGGCTCGATCCCCTAGGGGGGCATGCAGGAGGCAGCCAATCATGATTCTCTCTCATCATTCATGTTTCTCTCTCTTCCTCTCTGAAATTATATATATATATTAAAGTTTTAAAATACAATAGCATAGAATATTTTTCAGTTAATCATGTGAACTAATTTTACTTTTTCTCTTTTTCCATAGGACAGATCTATTCAGAAATGATCCACAATTTGCTTCGCCCAATTTTGCAAAGCAAGGACTGTAATTTGGTTCGATATAATGTCATCAACGCATTGCCTAATACAGCTGACTCACTCATTGGGAGAGCTGCACATATAGCTGTTCTTGATTCAGAAATATTTTTAGAGAAATTCTTTCTGGTTGCTGCTCTCAAATATTTCCAGTAGGATAAAACATTGTTAAGATACTTAACAATTACCTCATTCAACAATGATTCAAATAATGTATTATATTTAAACTATAGATGTTGGTAAGTTCTAAGAAATATTTATACCTTTTTATATGGAAGATAATTTATATCATCCATATTTAGTGCTTTTTAAACATCAACTTTACTTTATAGGTAACATGGCTGTGCAATATTTTTTAAATTTTATCTTTTTACTTTTCTATTACTTTTTAATATATTTTGCTACATAAGTATTTCAGTGAAACTTTAAGCCCATATGTATGTCTGATTATTATTGGCTTTCCACAGTCCATATATTCAGACACATCATACTCGAGGCCATGATTGCTAGAACAGCATGGAATTTTAAATTTTCTAGTATTGGGTATATTTAGTTAATTACAAATTTTACTTTTAACATTTTACTATGTTTTAACTGGAAATAAAATTATGGCTGCTAAAATATTTTTTTTTAATCAATTCTTCAGCCCCACCAAATGAGGTAGGTAGTGACAATGTTATAAAAGTTTTCTACAAAAATTCATTACTACTATTAAAACATATGTCATGCCTATTAAAATATATTTTCTACTGGTGATTTCAACATTGTTTCTCACATTGCCTTTTATTACTGGAACTTTTCATGTTCATGTTAGCAACATCTAGAGATTTTTGAATGTTTGAATGCCTTTAGTTGGAATTTTGTTAAATTTGGTAATGTTGCTTGAACTTTCTGACTACATTTCTTTTAACTTTTTTCATGGACTTCTGTACATAATAATTACATGTTGAAATTTATGAAATACTTTTATGAATTTAGATAATTTTTAAATATTGTTAAATTTTGTTGAACTATAGAGTGATGTAAATAAAATAATTCATGTTAAAAATAGAACAAAATAACTAACTTTACATGTTTGGTGATACAGATGCAAATGTTTTTGATATGGAGATGATAAGACTTTACTAAAGGTGCTGAACAGCATTAAATTTTGTTTTCCTTTATTGTTTTACTTGCGAAAATCATAGTGCACTAAGGTGGATAGAAGGTCTGCTTGCATTATTCACCAGTTGTGATTAAACGTAAGGTTTTTGTAAGTATGTATTGTATAATTGATGCATGTTTATTTTTAGCATTGTGTCATTGCCTCTGGTGTTAATAAATGAACAAATGACTAGAGGAACAGCTAAAAAACACTTGCTTATTTTCAGAATACTAGAGGTATATTTTTATTTATAATTGAATATATTAATTATAGGCCAGTATGATTATATAACATAGCTTTTGTAAAGTATTTTTATAACTTACAACTTTTGCATATATTATACAGTATTTCATTGATTGCTCTCCATAAATCTTTACTTTTTAAAAAGTACTTGAAAATTCAATGAAATGACTAAGCAATAATATACCAAGTGCATTGTAACTGGAAAATGTAAATATATGTATTATCTATCATGCAGTTTTGCCACACATATTTCTCATCTTCACGTATCTTGACCCTGAATTTGAAATGCCATGCTTATTTCTAAGTTTGAATAATCTCTTCCAGGATAATCAAAGGATTCTTTTTACTCATAATCATATAATTGTATTTAAGGGTAGATGGCTCTTATGATCATGGTTGGTTAATTGGTTATTGGTTGTATTAATACAGTTTTAAAAGCCTATCCATAATCATGGTTCAAAAATGTAACAAACTTTACTTCTGGATCACCAGGGAAACTATTATATGCTATTCACCTCCAAATTCAGATTGCAGGAGTGGGTTGGGGAATGATTATCTGAAACAGAATAATTGTCTTTTAGAGATTGAAGTATATTAAAACACTAGAGGCCTGGTGCATGAAATCCATGCACTCGGGGGTTCATCAGCCATCAGTTGGACATCCTTAGTGCTGACAGAGGCAGGAGTCTCCCGCCACTGCTGCTGCACTCACCAGCTGTGAGCCCGGCTTCTGGCTGAGCAGCACTTCTCCTGTGGGAGCTCACTGTTCACCAGGGGGCAGCTCCTGTGTTGAGCATCTTCCCCCTGGTGGTCAATGCGCATCATAGCCACCGTTCATAACGCCATCAGGCCAAAACCGGCTCTCTGACATCCCCAGAGGAGTCCTGGATTGTGAGAGGGTGCAGGTCAGGTTGAGGGACCCCATGGTGCATGATCAGGGCTGGGGAGGGCTCCAGAGTGTGTCTGGTTCATCTGGCTCAGTCCTGATCTGCCGGACCCAGCAGCAATCTAACCGACCAATCAGAGCAACTGCCCCCTGGTGGTCAGTGCACATCATAGCAAGCATTTAAGTGGCCTTAGCATATCAGTATATTATACTTCAATTGGTTGAGTGGCCAACTGGTCTACCGGACACTTAGCATATTAGGCTATTATTATATAGGGTATACCAATATGGATTCTTGGTTAAAACAACAGAAAATAAGATAAACTTAAGAAGAATATTAGGCAGCTCTTAGAATTGATGGAAATGCTGGAGAACCAGCTCTGGTAAACAGTAGAAAATAAAGGAAGCTAGATGAGCAAAATCAGAGCCATGTTCCAATCTCAAAAAGACCTGGGGGTTTTTTATATTTCTGATGGCATTGATGCCTCTGAAAACTGGTGGGAGGAGACTCTTGTCTACAGAGTGGGTCATTGCGATAGCCTCCAAAATGGCCTTCAAAAAACCCCACCTGCCTGTATTCACCCCTTGTGTAACCCCCCCCCCCCCACTTTGAGAGTGGGATGGATCTAGTTTATTTCTCATGCTAGAATACAGCAAAAGTGATAGATGTCACTTCTGAGATGAGGTTCAAAATGACTGTCTCTCGTCTTGATCAAAACACGCCTCCCCCTTTCCTCTTATTTGTTCATTCTATGGAAAAAGCAGCTTCTCTGTTATGAGATGACCTTTGGAGAAGCCCACATAGCAAAGAACTAAAGGAGGCATGTAGTTCAACTGAAACACCCTGCCAACAATCATGAGAGTGAGTTTGGAAGCAGATCCCTCTCCTAGTCATGCCTCCATATGAGGCTGGAACTGCAGCTAACAGCTTGACTGTAACCTCATTTAAGAGGTAGAGCCAGAGGCACTCTGGCACCTGGATTCCTGATGCACAAAAAGTGGGAGAGAATAAGTTTTTTTAAGCCATAAAATTTTGGTATAGTATGTTAGCAATTAAGTAAACTTGTTCTGATTAAGAGCCCTTTGGCAATGAGAACCTTTTTTGAGCATTCAGTCAGATCAAAATATTCTTATGCTTTGGGGCCATTATGAGAGGTCCAATTCCACAGAAGTATCCCAAAGCCTTTTCCCAGTCCCTTACCACTTGACTAAATCAGTGCCCAGGAAATATCATATCTTCTTCCAGACAAATTACAAGATAACCTTCGGCCCTCCAGGAGAATTTTTTCCCCCTCGCTGCTGTTCCTGAGGGTCTCTCATAAATGGATCTTTAAAAGCCAAAGCCAGTCCCTTGCCAACTGGGTCAGTGCATTGAGCAAACTCATCTGTAATCCATCTTTAAAATATATATAATTGCTTTTTTTTTACAGAGAGGAAGGGAGAGGGATAGAGAGAAACATCAATGAGAAAGAGACATTGATCAGTTGCTTCCTGCACACTTCCTGCTGGGGATATGCCTGCAACCCAGTTATCGATACATGCCCTTGACCAGAATCAAACCTGGGACCTTTCAATCTGCCAGCCGATGCTCTATCCAGTGAGCCAAACAGGTTAGGGCTGTAATCCATCTTTGAGGGTTTTTTTCTCACACAAGGAACTCCTTGTTAAACTGTAGATATTAGCTCTGGGTCAAAAGTATGCTAATGAAAATTGGCTGTGGTTTGTTTTGTTTGTTTGTTTGGGGGGGAGGGGTCTCTGGCCCTGTTCTGTATAAACCACTTCCTCTTAGTAAAAAAAAAAAAAAAAAAAAAAAATCTAAAAGGACCAGATAACAAGATAATAACCAGTTCATGTTGGGAAACTCAGATTGCATAGCCACCTGACGTCAAGTGGTCAGACAAAGTCTGGAGCTCTATACTATAATTCTGTTAAGACTTCCAGCTTGGCCAGTGAGACTCAGTGGTTGAGCATTGACCCATGCACCAAGAGGTCCCTGGTTCCATTCTTGGTGAGGGCACATCTCCCCTTCACCCCACCACCCCCTCTCCCTGTTTTGGGCTCCACCCCCAATAGGGAGCATGCAGGAGGCAGCCCATGGATGTTCCTCTCTGCCATCAATGCTTCTCTCTCTCCCTCTCTCTTCCTTTCTCTCTAAAATAAAATAAATTTTTTTAAAAAGACTTCCACGGGTTACATGAAGCCTCCTGGTCTGCCACATATGCTCCCAACAAATTGGAACTGTTGGAACTTAAGGGGCCAATTGGCAGGACTCCTTTCACAGCAGCCTGGACCAGACGTAAAGCTTTTCCTTGCTCTGTACTTCACTCAAAACTCATCTTTCAGGTCATTTGGTTAATGACTGACGAATGAGGAGTTCACTAAACAATAGATTAAAAAGTAACCGAGAGGGAGCACTGAGGGAAAAGGGTAAAAGATGCTCAATCTTTGTATACTAGAGACCTAGTCCCTTAGATTTAGATATATAAACGAAATTATTGCCTCATCCCACTTCAGCCACGATGTGGGGGTTTAATTACCACGGGCTTCGGAGTAATTTGGGCTGCGGTCCCTCCGGGCCTCCTTTGTCTACAAAAACCCTGAGCCAAAGGCTCTTGACTCCGAACGCGGGAGGTCGGAAGCCCCGCCCACGAGGAGGCCCCGCCCACTCACGTAGGCCCCCGCCCACCGGACTCACGCAGTCCCGCCTCCTACAGGAGGGAGTCCGCGCCATGGCCGCCGCGGGGTTTGTAGGTCGCGCGCCGGCTACAGCGTGGAGAACGGCAAGTAAGGCGCCCGGCCCCGGAGCCGGGGTCGCGGGCGGGGTCCCCGGCGCCGCGAGGAAGGGGAAGCCGATGTGTCGGCGGCGTTAGAGGGTGCGGAAGGCCGCCGAGCTCCTCGGTCACTCCGCTCGGCCCCGGCGGGTGCGGGCGGCTGGGCCCTCGGGGCTGGGACCGGAGCGGGACGATCCCTACGCCCTTCCCGCCGGCCGCCCCCTTCCTCCGGGCGCTGCTCTGACCCGGGGACCCCAGCAAACGTTCCCGGTGGCGTATTGGGGGACTTGCTCAGCGCACTAAACCCGTGCTTGTGGCAGAAGTGGGCCCTTCGGGAATGGGAGTCATTCGTGTAGTTATTTATTTACATCACAGAGGATTTGTGCAGTTTACACTATGAAAAAAAAATTGGAAAAGTGCAGAAGCGGGCCACAGGCAAATAAATAATGAAAATGGGATGCAGCTAGGAATTGTTAATGCAGGGAAAGTATGGATACTGGCAGTGAAAACCGGTATTTCTTAGTCCCTTTTGGTTGGACATTTTCTCAGTGTAGTACAGACTTAACCCACAGAGTATGTATGCTAAGCATAGTTTTAATTTAGGACATCTGGGAGGAAATGTGTAAATTGGAAACAGGATTACTGCCCCTCGTACTCGTGGGTCCCAAGTTTCTATGCAGCTGGTTTTCCTTTCTGTAATCATTTCTCCCCAAGCATATAATTTATTAAGAGTAAAAATTTTAAATGGTCCAGAATGAATAATATAAAAAGTGAAAGCCCCACGTTATCCAAACTCCAAGGTAATAACACTAACATTTTGTTGTGTTCACACAACAACCCTTTTTCTGTTTTATTTTACTTGCTTTTTTTAACTGTATTTTGAGATTCATCCATAGTGATGTTAGAGGTTGTAGTTATTTGCTCAATTATGAAAACATATCATACATTCTTCCATTCTCCTCAATGAGCATTTGGATAATTCTAGAAACACCAGGTTTGGTTGCTACACATTCTTATATGTTACTAGGGGCTGGGTGCACGAAATTCATGCTGGGAGCGGGTGGGAGAGCCTGCACCCTCTCCAGTCTGGGATCCTTCAGGGGATGTCTGACTGCCCATTTAGATCGGGCCTAAACCAGCAGTTGGACATCCCTCCCACAATCGGATTGCTGGCTCCCAAATGCTCACCTGCCTGCCAGCCTCACCACCACCTAACGACTCTTCTGCCAGCTTGATGGATGCCTGTTTCCTTGCTGGCCTGATCGCCCCCAAATGTCCTCCCCTGCCACCAACTTGTGGTGGCCATCTGGTGCAAGGGCCTGATGGTCAATTGGCATATTACCTCTTTATTATATAGGATTGGTGCTCTCGTGCAAGGAATGGAATTCCTGGGACATAAGGTATAGATCTGTCCAATTTTACAGTACGATGCCAGTTATAAAGGCATTCATTGTCCATTCTTACTGGCAGCTTACATTTCTACCAGAAGAATATGAATTCCTGTTGCTCCACATACTTGCCCACACTTGATATCATCAGAAATTTTCATTTTTGTGTGACTGTAGGATGCTGAAATAGTATCTTACTGCGATTTTGCTTCCCTATGGTGAGATAAATTAAAAATCTTTCAAACTGTTAGTTTTGTTCTGAAATATCTTTGTTTTCTTCATGGATTGTTTGTCTTATTTATATTTTCCACATATTTTAATACTAAGCCTTTTTTAGTTTTTTGGTGTTTTTTTTAAATATATTTTATTGATTTTTCACAGAGAGGAAGGGAGAGAGAGAGAGAGCTAGAAACGTCGATGAGAAAGAAAAATCAACCAGCTGCCTCTTGCACACCCCCCACCGGGGATGTGCCTGCAACCAATGTACATGCCCTTGACTGGAATTGAACCTGGGACCTTTCAGTCCGCAGACCGACGCTCTACCACTGAGCCAAACCTGTTTTGGCCCTTTTTTAGTTTTGTAAGTAGCAAATACCTCAGTTTGTGAGCTGTTTTTGTGACTTGTATGGTGTCTGTTTTTTTTAAGTCATGTAAGACAGTAGACGGAATACAGCAATGAATCTGTATGTACAATCACACAGCTTCAAAAATGTCTTGATTCATTATTTTAATCTTATTATTCTTTTATTGTCAGTGCTTTGTGATCTTGTCTAATAAAGTCTTTTCTACCCTAAAGTCATAAATATATTTTTCTATATTTTCTTCTGAAAGCTCTATAGTCTTGTCTTTTATACTTAAACCTTTTTTTTTTTGTTTTGTTTTGTTTTGTTTTAACCAGGAATTGATTTTTGTGTATGGTGTAAGGCAGGAAACCAATTTCATTTTTTTTCATAGCAATAACCAGTTGTCCCAGGTCCCTTTCTCGAACTGATATGTTACCAGCTATTCATAAATCAAGTTTACATGTAGCCCTAGCTAGTTTGACTCAGTGGATAGAGCATCAGCCTGCGAACTATAGGGTCCTGAACTCAATTCCGGTCAAGGGCACATACCTGGGTTGCAGGCTGAGGGGATCCGCAGGAGGCAGCAGATCAGTGATTCTCATCATTGATGTTTCTCTCCCTCTCCCTTTCTCTCTGAAGTAAAAATATATTTAAAAAAATAAGTCCCTAATTTAAATAAATAAATAAAATACATCAAGTTTACATTTTATATATTATGTATGTATTATGTATATATGTATATATATAATCCTCTATAATAATAAAAGCATATCATACTAATTAGACCGGACGTCATTCTGGACGAAGCTGGGGCCAGAGGGAAGCCGGTGCCAGCAGCCAGGGGAAGGAAGGCCTACTCTTGCACAAGTTTCTTGCATCAGGCCTCAACTATACATATTCCTGAGTTTATTTCTTTGACTCTTTTCAGTTGCATTACTGTATTTGTCTGTTCATGTACTGATGCCACCTGCCTTTAATAACCTTACCTTCGTAATTTATCTCGATATCTAGTAGGGTAAGACCTCTTATCTTGATTTTTCAGAAGTGTCTATTCTCGGGTATCTGCTTTTCATATCAAATTCTTTTTAAAAATAAATAAAATTCCTGTTGGGATTTGATTAATACTGCTCAATTTTTTAAAAATCTTTATTGTTGCAAGTATTATGAATGTCTGCCCCCCCCCCCCCCCCCCACTGGCCACTTCTATCCAAAACCCACCTTCCATTCCAGGCCTGAATTCACTGCACTGTTGTCTTTGTCCATGGGTTATGCATATGTGTATATAAGTTATTTGGTTAATCTCATCCCATCCACTCACCCATCCTGCCTTATTTCTGAGATTCTACAGTCTGTTCCATGTTTTATATCTCTGGATCTATTTTGTTCTTCAGTTCATTTTGTTTTTTAGATTCCACATGTGAGAGAGATCATGCGAGTCTTGTCTTTCTCTGGCTTATTTTGCTTAGCATAATACCCTCCGGGTCCCTCCATGCTGTCTTAAAGGGTAAGAGATCTTTCAGTAATGTAAATGAACCTCAGCTTTTTAAATATATATATATATATATAAAATTTGTATTGACTTCAGAGAGAAGGGAGAGGGAGAGAGAGAGAAACAGCAATGATGAGAGAGAACCATTGATCGGATGCCTCCTCCACTCGCCACACTAGAGATCAAGCCCGCAACCTGGGCATGTGCCCTGACCAGGAATAAACGTATATTTAAAAAAATATTTTGAAGATTTCCTTCCACTTTCTCCTATCTTGCAATGTTTCTATTGAGCAATCTGATGATGGTTTAATAGGGTTTCCTTTGAATGGTACAGTCTTGTTTTCACTGGCTGCTTTGAGAATTCTTTCTTTGTCATTAATTTTTGATAGTTTCAATAAAATGTGTCTTGGAAAATGTGTCTCGGAAAACATCTTTTTGGATTGTTATAATTAGGTGTTCTCTATTTGAAAGTTCTATTCTTTCCATGGGCTTGGGAAATTCTTATCAATTATTTCTTTTAGTAGGCTCTCTGTTCCCTTTTTTTCTTCTCCTTCTGATATACCTGTTACCCTTATGTTGCTCCCTCTGATGTAGTGAGATAGAGTTCTTTCATTAAAAAAAAACAAAAAAAAAACCCAAACCTCTTAGTTCTCTCTTTTCATCTTCCTGGGTCATTGCTAGGTTTCTCCCTTTAAGGTTGTTAATTCTCTCTTCCATCTGGACTGCTCTATTTCCCGTGCGATCTCATACATTCCTCATTTCATTATTGAGTTCTTCGGCTCCAGAATTTCTGGGATTCTGTGAGACTTTCATGAGAAATGGATTGAAAAATTATTTCTCCTCAGAGAATTTGCTTTTGCTTTGCCATATGTCAGAGTACTTCAACGTGGGCCCCCTTTACAGTAAGATGCCCCTCTTGGTGTGGAGGGGGGGATATGTGCCACGCAGAGAGTGTATAACAAAGATGTGGTCAGCCCAGTGGCTTCAAAATATCACAAGGGGCTTCTTTTTCTGCATCTCCATTCAGACAGGAATCAGTATTTAAAACTGATTCTACTGTTTTGATAATGGTTAACCAGCTCATTTCAAAGCTCTTGTTTTCACACTGATAACAATGGTTGCCTCCAAGGAGAGGAAATGGTTGTCTGGAAAATATGGACTGAGGGAAGAATTTTCACTGTATGTGCCTTTCTACTTTTTGAAAATTGACAAATGTGAATGTATAAACTAAAAACAAATTCAGTAAAATTACTAAATTTTAAAAGTAAAATAAATGAACAGCTTCTATTTTTCCACTATCATCACTCTGCTAGGATCCCCCCTTCTGTGTCATTCTTTGAGGAAAACAAGTTCTTCTCAAGGAGAAAAGTCTGAGCCCACCAAACAACCCCTAAAGAAGCCAAACTTACCACAAGGCCGTTTTGATGCACCAGAAGATGATACCCATTTAGAGAAAGAACCACTGACCAGTAAGTACAGTAAAGCTGCTCACATTTCAAGACTGCACGGTAGCTCAGTCATGGTGTCCAGCCTCTTAATTGCATAACTGAGCAACCTTGTCTTCAAAATTGACCATACTGCTTTTCCTGTCTCTATTGACTGCTTTGTTCACATCTTCAGGATTTCCAGATGACGTTAATCCTGTGACCGAAGAAAGAGGTGGACCCAGGGGCCCAGAACCTACCCGATATGGAGACTGGGAACGAAAAGGACGCTGTATTGATTTTTAAGCCGCATATTCTTTAATCTCTATCTTTTTCTGAATACACACATCTGAATTAATTTATTTCTGCTGCATATCCTTTAATATTCTAATTTCTATAATGTATTTAAAAGTACACTAGTACATGATGGCTTTGGAAGAAAATATGCTGCCATAAGTTAGGAAACGGAAAATATTTCTGCATTAACATATTAATTTTAACTTAAATGTATTGGAATATATAAGTGATGATTAGAATTGTACACTTCTTTCATCATGTCTTAGTTTAATCAGCCGCTTATAAAATGCAAATGTAAATAAAGCAACTTTTTAAAAATGATTGTATTGCCTTGTGCTAGATGATACTGACTTTTTATTTTTTATATTTTTTTCATTTTTTTTTATTTCATTTTTTTTATTAGATATATGTATACATCTTACCATTGCCCCCCCCATACATGCCCTCACCGCACCTCAGAGTTTTGCGTCCATTGGTTATGCTTATATGCATGTACACAAGTCTTTCGGTTGATCTCTTATCTCCCCCACCTCTCCCTAACCTTCCTGCTGTAATTTTACATTCTGTTTGATGCTGATATTGACTTTTTTAAAAGTGAGTTAAGTAGTACATTATATCTAAGAAAGCCACAGTAATAACAGAGAGTCTTTAACTTGGAGCCAAATTACTTGGGTACAAATCCTGCTTCTACTACTTACTAGCTATGTGACCTTGGGTAAGTTATTTAATTTCTCTGTTCTAGTGTCTGTATGTGTAAGTTGGAAATAAAATTAGTTCTACCACACTGAGCAGTTGAGATTCAGTGAATAAAAACCTGAAAACCACTTGGCACAGTACATAGCATGTACCTCTCAGTAATGTTAGTCCTTAAGTCGTGAGTGTACTTTGCCAAGTCTCTAGGCTTCCTGCAAGATGTGTGTGTAGGGGGGGTGGCTGGGGGGGGGGGGGGGGGGGGATTAAGAAACTGAAATTTGAAATATAGTGGAACCTCTGTTCTTAAAGTTAATTTGTTGCAGAAGCTATTTGTTTGAAAACCGAATCATTTTTTCCCATTAGGATTAATGTAAGCCGTAGTTGGTTTGGCTCAGCAGAGGAGTATCGGCCTGAAGGGTCCCATGTTCAGTTTTGGTCAAAGGCACATGCCTGGATTGCAGGTTCAATCCCCAACCCTGGTCAGGGCATGTGTCTCTCCTGTCGATGTTTCTCTCCTTTCCACTCTCTCTCAAAATCAGTGGGGAAATATCCTCAGGTGAGGATTAACCAAACAACAAAAGAAATAATGTAAATTGAAGTAATCTGTTCCAGACCCTAAAATGATTCTGTTTTAACCTTTTTTATATACAGTACATGTCTAATACACTGTTTAGTCTATAAGTGAACACTGTTTTTCTTATATTTATCGAACCATCCCCTACTAGCTTTAAACAAATCACTTTCCTTTTTTTTTCCTTTTCTTTTTTAAATATATTTTTTTGTTTTTTTACAGAGAGGAATGGAGAGGGACAGAGAGTTGGAAACATTGATGAGAGAGAAACATCAATTAGCTGCTTCCTGTACACCCCATATGGGTATGTGCCTGCAATCAAGGTACATTCCCTTGACCGGAATAGAACGTGGGACCCTTCAGTCTGCAGGCTGACACTCTATCCACTGAACCAAACTGGTTAGGGCAAATACATCACTTTCAACACTCAGTCCAGGGTAGTCTTTTAGGTCAGCATGCAGCTTTTTTTTTTTTTTAGCATCTTTTCTTGTTCATATATCACTGCCTCCAAAATGGCTGTCACTGGCTACCTGCTTTTCCTTAAATGAACAGCAGTGTTTCTACCTCTTCACTGGTCTCTGATCATTGTTTCTTTCACACCCTTGGCAACATTAGCATTCTTGATGGCCTTTTTATGTTTTAAAATTGTGCTAATCTTTTATTTCCCCAGACACAAAAGCATTTTCTCCTTTGTTGACTGAGAGACACTTTTTGTCATGCTGAGGTATCAGTTTGAAAGGGTTGTCAGTTAGACAACTGGGACATTTTTTCTGTGAACAACTTGGTTGAGAATGGAATTGTTCAATATAGGAGACATTTGAAAAATGAGGTTTGACTGTACTTGAGTTGAAATTGTTTTATATGAGTATAAAAAGTATTAAAAAGCCATTGGTTGGAAAATTAGTGATTATTTGCATAGGTGAACTGATGATATATATATTCATTTGTGAAACATGAAATTCAAGTACAGAGGGCAAATATGAAAAAAGCAGTGCTTAGAATTGACCAGCTTGGTTCTGATGACTCATTAGGTCCTACCCCTGTGGCCTTTGGATAACTAACTGGGTCAGGAGAAGTCAAGTCCAGTTTACAGATTTGGGGTGAAGGAAGGATGGGAACTCCTGGCCCCCCCCCCTCCCCCTAAGGCCTCCTTTGCTGTTTTGTGGCCTCACTCAGCTACAGAGATTGGCCTTCAGAAGCCTCAGGCTACACTTAAATTAGGAAGAAAGCTTGCAAAACCTATAGACAGAATGCAGTGGACTATTTGTGTCTTATGAATCAAGTGCAATGAGAAGATTGTAGGGAGACTTGTTAAAGAGAATAAACTTTTTAAAAAGTATGTTCTCCCTAGAAGCTAACTAGTGTGGTAATTGGGACTAGCCATTCGGTCTTCATACCATTCTCTCTTAGTCAACATTTGTTCTCTAATTGCAGTTACTGTGTATACTAAGTAATAACCACATTCCTATAAAACTAAGCTGTAATTTAGTCAACCTCTAATTAGCCCAAATTAGTGAAGGTTTTTACTAAGTTAATACCAGGTGGGCTGAGCCTCAAAATGGTGCCAGCACCCAGGGACAGGGAGTCAGATTTAAAGGACTCTAGGCGGACTTTTTCTGGGCAGAGAATACTCCTGGTGGATACCGTCCTGGGAAGGTCCAGAGGGGAAGGATAATGGTCTTAGCAAGTGGAATGTGGTCTAAGCCAATTGTGAAGTGATCAGACCTAACAGTTAACATTTCAGAAATACTGTGTTAAATTATTTTGTGCTGTCTAGTTTTACCTGGATTGCACACTAAAGTAGCTTACATACTTTAAAACTAATATAAAATGTGTAACAACCTAAGTATCCTATCTAATAAAGAGGGAATATGCTAATTGGCTATCATGACCTCACAAAGATGGCAGCAGCCACAGCCAATAAGGAGGGAATATGTGAATCGACTGCCACACCCTTAAGGATGGCAGCACCCACAGCCACAAGATGGTGGCGCCCAGTCCCCTCAGCCCCACCAGGGCAGCAGGCACACAGCATGGCCAGGCCCTCCCTCCCCCCCAGGTGGGTCTGGCCATGCTGTGCACCTGCCTCTGGAGTTCCCAGTCCCCTCATCCCCCAGCCACCCAGAGCCAGCCCAAGGTGTAGGCAAGCCTCGGATGGTGGCTACCCAGCCACCCAGAGCCTCCCGAGGATCAGGTAACCAGGTGACCAAGGCTTGCACTGCTGGCATTGGCAGCAGCAGAGGTATTATGGGGGCATTGCCTTTCCCTGATCACTGGATCGCCTTCTGCCTCAGGGCTCCTTGACTATGAGAGGGGGCAGGCTGGGCTGAGCGACCCGCCCCCCTTCAGTGCATGAATTTTCATGCACCAAGCCTCTAGTCCTATATAATAAAAGGCTAATATGCAAATTGTCCCCTTGATTGGAAGTAGAATCAACTGAGAACTCCAGCTGTTGCCCCATTGGATCCACTACTGGAAGCTGGCTTCATACAGATATGTAGTTGGATAAGGGAAGTACTAATTAGTCAAATTAAATGTGCTGAGGCCATGCTTCCTTCATGCTGTTTCTAGCCAGTGAATGAGTATGGTGGGGCTACAAGGAATGAAGATGGTGGCCAACTCCCTTGATGGGTGACATTGCTTCAAGGACTCCCCACCAGCCTTACCATAATTTTCTTAGGACTGTGCTGCTGTCTGAGACTCTTCCTACCCAATCCTGCCCTTCCCCCTTCCCTTCACAGGTGTTAGACTCTGCCTGTTCCTCCCCCTTATAATTCACAAGTCTCCCCAATAAAAATATCTTTCATGTTTAATCCCATCTTAGCATCTGTTTCTCAGAAAATCCAAACTAATATGGATAAGTTTAACAGAACAATTTATAGATTTTCAGAAAATGTCACACAAAGCTTGTGACTTTTTCTAGTGTAATTATAGTTTAAACACTTTAACTTTACATTGCTTGGGGGATTTCTGGGAAATTACAGGCTGAGCTTTTCTGTACCAGGCTCATGCCATGGAGCCTTGTACATAATAGGTGTTTTAGTGGAATTGAATTATGTCCAGCATTTCTTCTTATTTTGATGTCAGTTGTTGCAACTTACCATGAATCAAAATATAATATTACCTATTATTAATCTAGTTAAGAAGAAGCCTCAAGCCTCGTTCTGCTGGTAAATAATGTTGGATGAATAGAATAGTTTATAATGAGCAAACTTTCTATTAGTAATTATTAATATATCAGCAATTTTAGTGATAATTTCAGAAGATGGTACTTTTTAAAAATATGTATATATTTTATTGATTTTTTACAGAGAGGAAGAGAGAGGGATAGAGAGTTAGAAACATTGATGAAAAAGAATCATTGATCAGCTGCCTCTTGCACACCCACTAATGGGGATGTACCCGCAAACCAAGGTACATGCCCTTGACCGGAATTGAACCCAGGACCTTTCAGTCTCCAAGCCGACGCTCTATCCATTGAGCCAAACCGGTTTTGGCACAAGAAGGTACTTTTTATTTTTTATTTTTTATTTTTATTTTTTTTTTTAATATATTTTATTGATTTTGTACAGAGAGGAAGGGAGAGAGACAGAGAGTTAGAAACATCGATGAGAGAGAGTCATCGATCAGCTGCCTCTTGCACACCCCCCACTGGGGATGTGCCCGCAACCAAGGTACATGCCCTTGACCGAAATCGAACCTGGGACCCCTCAGTCCCCAAGCCGATGCTCTATCCATTGAGCCAAACCAGTCTCGGCAAGAAGGTACTTTTTATAAGTGCAGGATAAAAATGGCAGTCAAACTCTAGTCGGTTTGGCTCAGTGGATTGAGCATCAGCCTGAGAACTGAAGAGTCCCGGATTTGATTCCGGGCAAGAGCATGTACCTGGGTTGCAGACTTCTCCCTGACAGGGCCCAATCAATGTGTTTCTCTCACATCAATATTTCTCTCTGTCTTTCCCTCTTCTCTCTCTAAAAGTCAATGGAAAAATATCCTTGGGTGAGGATTTAAAAAAAAAAAAAAAAAAAGCAACTATTAGCCTCTGATTGATGAATTAGGAAGGAAAGTAAAGTGATGAGTGCCTGATGAGTTTGTTCATTCATTCATTCAGTTGATTCATTTAATCAGTGCCAATTATTTGTCTGCCATGTGCCAGATATTCTGCTAGGATCTGTGTATTTTGCAATAAATGAAACAGAGCCCTTGCCATTTTGGCATGAAGTCTGGTGGGTTTGCTCTGCTCATGAGAACAGTGCCAACAGACAAATGACAGAAGACTGAATGGGTTGCAAGTGACTCTGATGCATCCCAAACTAACCAAAGCAGACTTCCCAGGTTTGATGAGGCTATTACTTCCTGGGGTTTTGATACTAGAAACCTGGTTTTCAACTTTTTAATCTAAACTGACTGAGAGACTTATTAGTCAAATATTTATACTGCGATCAA